CCGCGCCTGCCTTCCCTGCAGGCAACCGAGAGGAAGGGGGCAGCGGCTCCGATCGGGGCAGCCTTGCTAGAGGGAAGGGGGGAGACGGTCATTTTCTCCTAACAAGCCGCTGGTGCTTTGAGAGAAGCAGGAAGGGCCGCTGTGTCAGCATAATATCGCCCCCCCCCCAATACCCCCCGAAGGCGGCTGTTACACAAGCCAGCTAGGTCACTTCCTTTTCTCAGCGGCCGGGTCAAGTCGTGACGTAGCTTCCCGCCTGGCCAATCGGGGAGCGGATCCTAGGCGATAGAACGCCCTGCTTGATACTTTTAGCGCTCGCGAGCTGCGTTGGGTTCCAGGAAGCTGGGATGGGAGAAGGGCCGTCTGCGCCTGGTCGGGTAAAAGCGTCCAAGGGTGGTCCAACGTCACCCAGGCGCTGATCTGATGCTTTTCGAGTCGGAAGTGTAGAACAGCCTTCCCCATCCTGGTGCCCCCCAAGCGTGTTGAATTTCCAGCTCCTTAAACTTGAGAGGGATATGGCTGGGAATGATGGATGCTGAAGTCCAGCACTTCCAGGGAGGCTGAGGTTAAAGCCCAGCACATCTCGCACTAGACAGAATTAGATCAGCTGCACGAGGTTCGGGGAAGGCTCTGCTATTGTGCTTCAGCTCTTTCAGAGTAGAGGTGCTTTAGAGTAGAAATCATGGCTCTAAAACAGTCTGGTGATGCCTGTACTGTACTAGATTAAACCCTTTTATGCTGATTGGATTGATGTGGAGTATCTTTCACCATTTGTGAGAGCTAAGCACCTAATATTTGCTGAGTTCAAAAAACAAAGTAGGGCTGGACCTGGTTTGTACATGGATGGAAGACCAGGAAGAAATCCCAGGGAGGCAGGCTAGATTGGAAGTTTGAAAAAGACTTCAGAAGAAGGGAGTGGCAAATTCTATCTTTGCCCAAATGGAGGCTTTATATATATATCTCTAGACACACACCCAGCGTTACTACAACTGGACCTTTTGGTGAGCTTTAGCTGCTAGTGATATGAATGAAAGCAGTCTTGGGGATGCCAGTAGCACACACAATCCATGCAAATACTGTTCTCAGTACAGTATCCTACTTGGAACAGATATTTTTGAGCACTGCCTGTACTGACTCTAAATATAGGACATGGTGAGTTTTGTGCATTTTGATTTTCACATGATTGTCTCCAAGTTGTAGCTAGCATTGCAAGTAGCTATTAGAATCTAGTATTAATTTGTTTCCTACTATATTATACATAAAACAAACTTTGTGATTATAATGCAAGGAACATTAAAGTTAATGTTCTCTAATCTTTTTTAAATACAGTAAGATTTTCTTCTGAATAGATGTGCGTAAGAATGAAGTCAAGTAATTTGAGTATGTTTTTCTGTTTCCAAATTGAATCTTCCAATGAGTACCATTGCCTGCTTTCGGTAGGAAAGGTTATTCAGTAGGAAGATTAGGCTGTTGGAAGATAAGAAACATTTATGGCTTCAGTCTAGAAAAAGTTGTGCTGGTGTTTCATTGATGTCAGTAAGACAACTCGTGAAAGAACTGTACAATGAAGTAGGAATATCTGAAATTTGAAAACTGAAAAGGCAGATTTAGTCTGATTTTGTTAGGAAGAAGACATGTTACTTTTGATTATGGCAAGATATATAACAACTTTTTTGCTTCTTAGATTTCAGTAAACATTTTTAAGTTATCTCCTTTACCATGCAAGTTAGATATGTGCTATACAAAATAGAAATTGTCATCATTTATATTTTTTAACAGTACTAAGCTATGACCTTGCATATACAGCCCTGGATATGTTAAATATCTACAGAATGAATATGTGTTGGAAAACTCTTAGGAAAATATATAGCAAAACAACAGTATCACATGACAAATGTTTACAGTAACGCCATGATGAAGCAAAATAGCATCTAATTCCTCAATATAAGACTTTTATTTAGAGAATGTTCTATATCAAAAATGATTTTCATTTCCAAACTAAGCAATTCATCTTCTACTCTATAGAAGCACAAATAATTGGTAGAGAAAGTGAGCTTTAAGTTCTTCTGTAACTCTTACAGAATAGGAAAAAATTGTGAAAAGCAGCACTTTATGCTTTTCTTTCTTAGATGATGATTAGGTTTCAGATTGACGGGTACCAAAGAATGAATACCAATGCCTGGTTTGGTAAAACCAGGTCTGCCCTATTTCCAACCTGTTGTGTATTGCTACCCACTGGGAGAAGTAATTCTCTTGCATCTGATATCTGTTGGGGATTATAAATAGAATGCAAGACAGTAATGATAAAGATGTGATTTTCAGTCCATGTTCAAACATCTGTTGGAAACTGTGATATTTTGGAGGCAGTTGCCTCCTCCACTTTAAGGATATTATTGGTTTACTTTGGGTCATGTCTAGTTTTTCAGTCCATGTTCAAACATCTGTTGGAAACAGTTTGATTTTTTTGCCTCCCCCACTTTAAGGATGTTACCGGTTTACTTTGGGTCATGTTTCCTTTACCATCAATGTGGACATGAAGTTCAGGATACCACAGTTCTTTTTGCCCTGTTCAGTGCTGTAGATATCCCATACTATGTCAGCCTCTGGAGCTTTGGAGAGGACAAAATATAATGCTCAGTGCCTTGGAAACAGAAGGTAACAATCCTGAAGCTTGTCAGGAGTAGAGAATAAGTTCTAGCAATTCTGCTTTTCTTCTGAGGCAAGTAGAGATCTTCAGAAACCTAGCACAAATGTGTGGACAATCTCTTGCTTCTTCTCTAGCTCTTAACTGAATGGCTTGCACCAGCAGTCTTTATACTGCATTAGGAGCAAAAAGAGGAGCCCTGCTGAGGTTTTGTTGTGTTTTGAAGATCAAGCATGGAAACAATGACTAGATTCCATGGCTAGTGGGAAGAGCAGGACTCTGGCATCCACAAACTTTGTGTTGACTGTCAAAACCAGCTAAAATGGGTGGGAATCCTTGCATTATCTAGCAATTGATGAATGAATAAGGCTTTATCATGATTATTTTAATATGGCATTTCTCTGTCCATCTGCATAAAACAAACATTCTTTCTGGGGATGGATCTTGAAGTCTTTGCAGTGTAAGTGAATTCATTTCTATGGAGTGGATAGAGCGAAAACCTTATACAGTACCTATTAAACATTCTTCTGATAGATACAGTCATTAAAGGTGACCTTGTTTTGGAAAACTGAGAACTGTGAGGTTATATAAAGTTTGGTGTATGTTGAAAACAATGGCTATTGTTTAAACAAAGAAAACAAATGCTGTTTCTGTGTGTGGGTGTGTGGGTGAATCTTTTGAACCAAAGAAGGAAATGGAGTAGAATAAGAGCATATTCACTGTTTGTTGAACATTTAAAGAGATTTAGGCAACTTGATCCTGTGTATGGAACATCATGTTTTGCTAACCAGAGTGGAAATTGCTCATAAATGTAGAAGCATAAAATTGCATTCCCAGAACATCCAATGGCAATGATACATGAAGTACAATCACCTGTACAAGCCTCATTCCATTTGGAATGATTTTTATTAATGAGACATATATTATATATTGGCTTCTACAATTTTCAACCAAAAAAAATGTAGTTTTGAAACTGCTGTTGCATCCACTCTGTAGTATAGGCGCAGGTGCTTTAAGACCATGACTGGGACAGCAACCGACATGAATGAATGAGTCATTCTTCTCCCATTAAAGCAAGAATAAACCATGCTCTCAACATATTGCTAATATTCTTTATAGCAAGGTATTCTTAGCATCAACAACTTTGCAAACAATGCTTTCTCCTCTAGTACTGAATGTATTTTTAAAAGATCCTTTGCAGGGAGCTACACTTTCTGTTTTAAGAGTATTTTTAATGTGAATTAGACAACCTGTGAACCGTTGGGTCATCATTTCAGAGATATTTCCTTACCTTAACAGAGAAACAGAATGACCAAGGGCAAAAAATCCTCCTCCCTCCCTCCCTCCTATAATATAGGCTTGTGCCATTTGCCCTCCCCTCATGACCCTCAGGAGAGCCCCAGTGAAGCCCCCTCCTCCTGCTTGGCTGACCCATGGAACTGCCTGCCACTTTGCTGGGGGGGAGGGTGAATAAAGGGAGCTGCAGACTGTGAGGAAAACTGCACCCCCACTCCTTATTCTGGCATATCCCCAAGGTCCCCCTGCCTCAAGAGAGGATGAGGGCTCACCAGTCGACCGCCAGCGCCCCCCAGCCAGCCCTACCTCACTGGCAGGCATCTGAATCACTCCCTCATCCTCCCCTCAACGCCCACTGCAGTTAAGAGATTGCAAATTTTGGCCTCATTTTCAAAGCAGGCAATCACCACTTGCCCATTGGCCTTGCCACCAGCCGATTGGGCGTAGGGGACAGAGGGAGGTGGGAAAGAGGTCAGGGATACGCCCATGACGATCAAGTGACTTGGGCTGACCATGGCAGTGCGGCAGCAGTGCAGTGCTGAAGTGGCCACAAATTTCCCAAATGTCAATCCCACAGGAGTAATGGGTCCCAGATTTGGATGCATTCTGTAAATTAGCCCATTTGAGGTGCCTTGGTTCAAATATTGTTTCCCTATGACACATCGTTTCACCTAGCTGAAGGTTACCAACACGAGAGTTTTAGTAGTATATAAATGGGATAAGCTACAGGGCTGTTTCATCCCTTTAGGAGGGAAACAAATAGGCTAGGATCCCTAGAAAAACTTTAAGAATGTCCAAAACTTGGATTATGCATGTTTTACTGACTCTGGTTTGAATAACAGATCTTGATGTTATATCGCAAATGAGCATTGAAGAGGGGTGGCTTTCCACTTCTATTTCCATTGTTTGGAAACACCCACCCCAAATTGTATTGTAGAAAATAGGTCATTTTGCTGCCAAAGTTTGGCTTTGTCTCTCTGGAAGGCTGTATGAGAATTTGCCATCTGAAACTAATCTTATGGTTCAGTCCATCTTTGTCGATAGATTGCTCCCTCCCTGGAAAAAAGAGTAGGTAGTGGTGAAGTCTACTGGGATCTCTCAGTCTAATCTTCCATGATGCTTGTCCCTGAAAAAGCCTTTACAGGTAGTCCTCATTTAGCAACTGCCTCATTTAGCAACCGTTTGCAGTTACGATGGTGATGAAAAAGTAACTTTACTTTCCTCATATTTATGATTTTTGCAGGTCTGTAAAGCAAAGGAAAGCTGAAGTAAGATTATAAGCACAATTGTGGTTTCACTTAGTGACCGCTTTGTTTAATGGATCAAGATGCCAGTCTCAATTGTGGATGCTAAACAAGGACTACTTGTATAGAGATCAAACAAAAACTGATTGGGACAGGCAGAGGGACAGATTTAGGGCCTTAAACCATTCCAAGAGAGGCCCTTCTCTTACCTAAATACTACCTAAATACTTCTGTAGTATTCTTTTTGTTCCTCATAGGAGAGCTTTTATCTTAGCAAGATTTAATGTCTTATCCTCTGGGGTGTTGAGGGGAAGGTCTTTATTCCTTTTTTCAGAGTGCTCACGTCCATGCTTGGATGAAACAGTAGAAACAGTTGTTCATGTGTTGATACACTGCTCATTTTATGCCATCTGGTGCTTAAAGCTACTAATCCCTTCCTTACTAAGGGCTTGTTCTGGCCTGTAGAGAAGATTGTGCATTTTGTATTAGCATATTGGTTCACCAATACCTCCATGAGACTAGCTAAATTCTCTTCAGTTGAGATTGCCATGAAGACATGTTGGGTTGGAACCTGGCCATATGATCATTCTATGAATCTCCTTTAATTGTTATTTTTTATTCCAAGTTACTGTAGTTTACTTCCACTTTTTGGCTGTCTTTGTGAATAAAGCAATGATATTTGTGCAAGGTTTTATTTATTGTTAAATCCTTATCTGATTCTGTGCCAAAAACGTTTAGATTGTGAAGTTAAAATCTTCTATTTTCTAGGTGGTGTTTAAAAATAACAGCTGGCACTTGTTTGTAAAAGTTGAAGGATATGAAAAAATAGAATAGTATAAACAGTGAATGCGCAGAGTTTGTAGAGACTCGAAGGCCAAAGTCCACTGGTTTTATTTGAACATAGTAGAACTTGTATGCATAAGATTGTCTAAAACCTTAAGCTTGAGCTCTTTGGAAAGTCTAATCAG